GTAGGGAACCTGCTTTGTCAGGGGGGTTGGACTGGATGATCTCCTGAGGTCCCTTCCAACCCCACCATTCTGTGATTCTGTGATTCTATGTTTGGTCCTTCCACAGGCTTAAGCACTTCTGATAACATTTGCAAAAGGTCCTGAGGTTATCAGCAATTTGGGATGGATATAATTTCATTGGAAGGTTGTTAGCATATGTAAATATCAAACAACCAGGTGATAAATGCTCCTCCCATGGTCATCAGCAATTTTATTCAAAGGTTGTTACAACAGCTGGGTGATATCTGAGCAACCAAGGAAACTATAAATATTTTTGCTTCTAATTTCTCAGGGAGCCCCTTAAACACAAACTTTTTTGTCACAGACTGTGGCAACATCCCGTTCTTGGCTTCTTCAATCAGCGATACCTATTTAAATGAACTGCCACAGGGGCTGGCAGCCTATGGTGGTTGTATTGCTACATCAACATCCAGGAAAAATCCCTGGTGCTGCTGGGAGTGAGTGAGCAGTGAGACTTGGTTCTGGCCAAGGTGATTTCCCCAAGTACTTGTCAGGGGGTGTAGAGGAAGAGGAAGCAAAACTACTTGTGTTGTGCAACTTTGTCATCTAAGCGGTAACCTACGTGTCAGAAAGCCAGGGCTGAATTGGTGCTATGGTTCTTCTCTTTTTTTTCTTCTCTTTTTTCCTTTCCCCCCCTTCTTTCTTCTCTTTTTTCCTTTCCCCCCCTTCTTTCTTCTCTTTTTTCCTTTCCCCCCTTCTTTCTTCTCTTTTTTCCTTTCCCCCCTTCTTTCTTCTCTTTTTTCCTTTCCCCCCCTTCTTTCTTCTCTTTTTTCCTTTCCCCCCCTTCTTTCTTCTCTTTTTTCCTTTCCCCCCTTCTTTCTTCTCTTTTTTCCTTTCCCCCCTTCTTTCTTCTCTTTTTTCCTTTCCCCCCTTCTTTCTTCTCTTTTTTTCCTTTCCCCCCCTTCTTTCTTCTCTTTTTTTCCTTTCCCCCCCTTCTTTCTTCTCTTTTTTCCTTTCCCCCTGTTCTTTTTTGTTCTTTCCAGCTTTCACACAGCTTGCTGAGTTGTTCGGATGATGCAAGGAAGTTACTGGCTTTAGAACAAATGTTTTCTTGCCAAATGCAAGAGAGAGACTGTTGCAGTCGCTGTGGTTCTGATTAAATCAAACAAATGTCTGCAGCGAGCTTGGTTAACACCAAGGATATTCTTTGAGTGCTGCACTCTTCCCTGGTGTTCTTGTTGCCTCACTGGTCCCTTTTGCAAATGCCAGCTCTCACCTGTGTGCCATCCTACAGGAGTGACCCACTGGGACTGACTGAGGCAGCTCATCTCAAACAGGACCCTGAGCTGGCAGCCTGTGGCTCACAGCTCTGACTCAGTGTCTCGCTGGATTTGTCCCTGACAGAAACATCTGTGATCTCTGTAACTGTCTCTGATGTGTGGACAAGGGCTGTGTGGTTTTTCTCTATGTGTGAGACACAATCTAGTTGAATATGTCTGTCATCTCTGCTTTTTAGAGTTGGAAATGTCCCTCTGAAACCTTCTACTCAGTGAATTCCAATATATCAATGTGTGTTAGAGGTTGGAAGAGTGTTCCCAAATAAAATTGCCTGTCTGCAAGCAACAAGTACAGGACACACCTTAAAGGATGCATCAAAAGAAGTTCTTCACCAATTCAGCACAATCTGCTTTAATGTTGCTTATTTATGGTTAAACTTTACTAGTTGACTGGCTGGTAAAAGGAAAGAAAATAGTGAATTGGTTTATTGCCTGCAGTGTTAAAAAGTACAGGCTAAGTTGTTCATAATTCATTGGGCTTGTTTTTTTTTTATCCAACAGGTTACTGGTCATTTAGATGACTGCACCTGTGATGTTGAAACCATTGATGCCTTCAACAACTACAAGCTTTTTCCCAGACTGAATGAACTTCTGCAAAGTGACTATTTTAGATACTACAAGGTAATTTTCTCATTGAATAATTGTATTTAGTTTGCGTGCTGGTTTTTTGGTGGTTGTTTTTTTTTTTTTAAATCTCCCTTGAAGTTATTGCTGATCTTTTGAAATAAAATCAGATCCCTACATTTTAATGTTGAACTTTTAAGAATGCAGTCAGTAAATGGGACTCTTGCTATCAAGAGAATCTTAATGTGGTACAATATGCTTATAAGAGGCACGATTTTAAAGATATTTTCTTATTTGTTTTTCCCTCTTAAGAACTTAAGCAGTAGACCTATGAAATGACTTCTTTTGTTGAGTTGTGGCTCAAAAATGTTGATGACTGCATTGGACAATGAGAGTATTCATAGTGTCTCCCCATTGACATGGAAATCCCAGTTTAGTTACCAGACATTCAGGTGAATTGGTGGCTGTTACTGCCAGACCATCCTCCAGAGATGGATTCTGCTCCCATCCAGTGAGACTACATGTGTTTGACTAAATGTGGGGTTGGTTTGGGTGTGCTTGGGTGATGGGGCAGGATTTTACCTGCTGCATACAGGTGCTGAACAGTGACTGTTGCCTGATTGTTTCTGCAGACAAAACAAGTATTTACTCTTTTGTAAGAACAGTTTTAAAAGTTTCTGACTTCACTACACTGCAAATTACAACAGGTCCATATATAAAATCACTGGGGTAAAGCTGCCTCTCCATGCTGCCCCTCTCCACCAAACTCAGTGTCTTGTTAAATGTTAATTGTTTTTGAAGAATTATAATTGATACCAGCTCCTAGAAAATAAAGACTAGGATTTGTTAAAGAAGTTGGTGTTGTTTCCCATTCCAGTGCTTGGATTTGTAATAGGAATGCTAAAATATTAGCATTCCTATTACATTAAAAATAAAGACTAGGATTTGTTAAAGAAGTTGATGTTGTTTCCCATTCCAGTGCTGGGATTTGTAATAGGAATGCTAATATTGGTCTGAATGAAGGATGAATGGAGATGTCTGTGTGTGAAAGCACCAGATGAAACAGCAAAGAAAGGATTAAAAGAATAACAGTCACCTGTGCTGATAACAAGGACATGAGTGATAGCAATCAATGTGGTAAACACCAAGGAGTTATTTGTTCCCATCAAGCCCAGAAGGCTTGTACACCAAGTCCAGTTCTGGGGCCCCAAACATCAGAAGGAGCCAGTCCAGAGGACGCCACGAGGATGATGTGAGGGCTGGAGCAGCTCTGCTGTGAGGACAGGCTGAGAGAGTTGGGGCTGTTCAGCCTGGAGAGGAGAAGGCTCCAGGGAGACCTTCTAGTGGCCTCCCAGTACCTGAAGGGGCTCCAGGAAGGGTGAGGAGGGACTTTGGCCAAGGGCAGGGAGTGAGAGAACAAGGGGGGATGGCTTGAAAGTGGCAGCGGGGAGATGTGAGGAAGAAATTGTTTGGTGTGAGGGTGGTGAGACAGTGTCCCAGGTTGGCCAGAGAAGCTGTGGCTGCTCCTCCCTGGAAGTGTTGAAGGCCAGGTTGGATGAGGTTTTGAGCAACCTGGTCTAGTGGAAGGTGTCCCTGCTGCTGGCAGGGGGGTTGGAACTGGATGAGCTTTAAGGTCCCTCCCAACCCAAACCAGTCTGTGATTCTACAAAGTCCAGAACACAGATGACTTGACAGCTGAAGACTTGCACTCTGGCCACAGGAGGATGGCAGCAAGGCTCCAGCACATCTTCTTCCTGCTCCTGTAACGGGGTGGCAGGCTGCAGTCCCAATACACCAACAACAAGGAAACAAAATCAATGGGCATCAGGCTTCCCCTGAGATTCACAGAGAATGAAGTGAGCCCTATTCCAAGGCCAAAGGTTGCCCCAGAGTAACTGTTGGCTTCTAAAGGGTACAAACCACCTGGCCAAACCCCACTTTGTTGTTGCTCAATGGGAGCTTCAGGATGTGATTAGGAACTGGTGACCTGTGTGTCCTGTCTTCTGCATTACCACAAAGGGTCCTGGCCAGGCTGCACGGGCACACACATCTCATACGAGAGACAAGTGAATGAGTGTGACCAGCTTTGTCTTACACAGCCTGTTTCCACTCTCACTGCACTCAACCTTGCACTAAGCTGTGTTATCTGAAGCCTTGCACTAAGGTGCTGAAGATGTGTGTTGGTAAACTGTCATGTGGAAGGTTGGCTTGGTTGTGTGGAGAAAATGTGTAATAGGATAATGTATTATTTGTAGGTAAACCTCAAGAAGCCTTGTCCTTTTTGGAATGACAACAGTCACTGTGGAATAAGAGACTGTGCTGTAAAGCCCTGCCCATCTGTAAGTACCAAAGCTATTTTTTTTTACATCTTCTATATTTTTCTTTTGCACATCAAGAAGAAGCAGCAGCAAATGACTGACTTTTCTCATTATTGTAACTATAGCAAAACCATGGCTCTGATGGAGCTTTCTTAGGTGCAGCAATACTGGTATCCGCAAGAAAAACCAAAATGCTAAATTCTGAAAGGTTAAAGAAAGGCTGGGATTTTAATAGCTGACCCTCTGTGAATGGCCAAAAACTTGCCCAGATTCTTCTCTTATTTTTGATATTGGCCAGATGGGTTTTGGGAAAATCTACTGTTACAAGAAACACGTCTTTTGTTAATTGCCAAGAAGTTCTGGAACCCCCCAACATAAGAAAGACATGGACCTGTTAGAACTAGTCCAGAGAAGGGCCACCAGGATGATCCGAGGGCTGGAGCAGCTCTGCTGTGAGGACAGGCTGAGAGAGTTGGGGCTGTTCAGCCTGGAGAAGAGAAGGCTCCAGGGAGACCTTCTAGTGGCCTCCCAGTACCTGAAGGGGCTCCAGGAAGGCTGGGGAAGGACTTTTCATAAGGGCAGTTAATGACAAAACCAGGGGAAATGGGTTTAAGCTGAAAGAGGGGAGGTTTAGATGAGATATTAGGAAGAAGTTTTTCACTGTGAGGGTGGTGAGACAGTGTCCCAGGTTGGCCAGAGAAGCTGTGGCTGCTCCTCCCTGGAAGTGTTGAAGGCCAGGTTGGATGAGGCTTTGAGCAACCTGGTCTAGTGGAAGGTGTCCCTGCTGCTGGCAGGGGGGGTTGGAACTGGATGAGCTTTAAGGTCCCTTCCAATCCAAACCATTCTATGATGATTCTGTATGATTCTATGATGAAGTTTATTCTGTTGGCCCATGAGCTACATTGTGATTTGCTGTTTTGGCTGATAAATTTGACTAGGTCCTTTCCAGCCTCTCTCTATACATGAAATGGCTCTTCCCAGTCCTCTGTTTCCCAGTACAAAAGCAAACACTCTTGTCTCTGAATCCTGGACAAAAGGGTTTTGTTCACTGAAGGACAAGAAAAACATCTTGACTGCAGGTGTCTGCTTGAAAAAAAGGGGATGAGAAAGTAAATGAATCAGAACTTGGTTGCTGGGTTGTTAGAGGTGGTGAAGATGCCACCCAGCCTGGCTTTGTGTGTTGGCAGCCAGCAGCAGACCTCTTATGCTCTCAGTCCTGGGTCTCCAGAGCAGTCAGGGGGTACACTAAGGGTGTGCAGGGGTGTGCCATGCCAGTGGTGCCATGAGGGCCCTCAGTATCATTATTATTATGACCTTTAAAGGTCCTTTCCGACCCAAACCATTTTATGATTCTGTTTTCATGTACAATTTAAAGTATGTTGTAATGAAGCAGGTGTCTGTCCTTCTCACCTGGTAACTCCGTGGTAACCTGATGTTGTGTAGCTGTTGGCTGAAAAAAACAACATCTAAGCTGATAGGACACCTTGAAAGAATCTGGTATGGGGGTGTGTGTGTGTGGGCATCACTTGTTAGATACATTCTGATATGTATGTTAAATTCATCTGTCTTCTCCTCACCCATCAACCACCCTACCCCTCACACAAGCATCCTTTGCTTCCCTAGTCTTCAAAAAGCACCTATTGTGGACCCAAAATAGGGTGATAATTGATTTATATTTTTTCCCCCCCAATTGAAATAACCCTAAACTTTGTTTAAATACTTTTTTCCTTATAAAGGATGGCTTTGGTAAGGACTGTGACCAATGTGACAGAGTAATGTTACAGTTATGTCAGTATTAGCTGGAAGTTGCTCTTATTAAGATCTGACTGTGTCACTGCTGGTTTTAATTATTTTGATTTGGGTCCATTTCATTCTGAAAGCAACAAAAAATAACTCTTATTGCTTATTTTTTTCTCTTCTTGTGCTGCTTGCCATCACAGTATCCGCTCCTGCAGCGTAGAAGTGGTTTTATTGCCTTCCTACAGATGGAGGAAATAGAAGTTGAGAAGAATTTAGGGCCTGATTGTCTTGTGTGTACTGCTCGGGTTGTGTGGGGCTGGCAAAGCTGATGTTACATGATGGAGTGGGGAAAAGGGAAGTTTTGGGATGATTTGTATCAGGGGTTGGGAGATGCAATATCTGAGGAGGTGCCTGGGCTCCTGTGAGGAACGCCAGCATCACCAGGAGACAGGATACCAGACATCAGCTGACCAGAGGCAACTCCAGCTCCTCTGCACTTTATATTGGCTTCACAGAATCATAGAGTGGTTTGGGTTGGAAGGGACCTTAAGGCTCATCCAGTTCCAACCCCCCTGCCAGCAGCAGGGACACCTTCCACTAGACCAGGTTGCTCAAAGCCTCATCCAGCCTGGCCTTGAACACTTCCAGGGAGGAGCAGTCACAGCTTCTCTGGGCAACCTGTTCCAGTGTCTGACCACCCTCACAGTGAAGAACTTCTTCCTAATATCTCATCTAAACCTCCCCTCTTTCAGCTTAAACCCATTTCCCCTTGTTTTGTCCTTAACTGCCCTTATGAAAAGTCCCTCCCCACCTTCCTGGAGCCCCTTCAGGTACTGGGAGGCCACTAGAAGGTCTCCCTGGAGCCTTCTCTTCTCCAGGCTGAACAGCCCCAACTCTCTCAGCCTGTCCTCACAGCAGAGCTGCTCCAGCCCTCGCATCATCCTGGTGGCCTCCTCTGGACTTGTTCCAGCTGCTCCAGGTCTCTCTTGTGATGGGGGCTCCAGAACTGGATGCAGTATTCCAGGTGGGGCCTTACCCCAACCTCACGCTTGGGTAAGCAAAACATAACCTGACGTAGCACCCGTGGAAGGCTGCTGAGCTTTTGAGAAGAGGAGTCTTGCGAAAAATCAAAGTAAAACATCAAGAATATTGCTTCACCCTAGTGTGTGGAGGAGCCAGCAACGGGCTGTGTTGTAAGCTGAAGCTGAGTGCTTTGATTACCTTCTAACTTCTAGAAACTGTGGTAACCTTCCTAATCTTCTTCAAAGGCAAGGTTGAATGGCCTCATCAGCTCCACACGTAGCACGTGCTCAATTTTGTCTTTCAGGAGGAAGTCCCTGATGGAATCAGATCTGGAAGTTACAAGGTAGGTGTGTGTGCCTGCGTGCTCAAAATGACTTCTGCTGCTTCTAGGACCAGTTCTGTGTCACTGCAGCTGATAAAAGCTGCCTTAATCAGATGGGCAGTATTGTCAGGATGTACTTCATGGTGAAATTTCTGCCCTCTTCATTTAAGGGTAAAAATGCACAGCAAGGAGAGAGTCACTTATTTACATATCTTATTTAAATGAATTAGTTTGTTTGTTTATTTATTCCCCTCTTAGGCCTCAGAATGTAGTATTTAACATGCTGTGAAGCCTTTGAGGTGGCTGTCCTGAAGTCAGGTATTACCCTGCACTAAGGTAGAGCAGACTTCTCCAAGAGCAGGTCTTGTCAGGCACCAAATGCTCCTACAGCAGTGCCAGAGGCTGCTGGGAGTCCCTGCAACAATCATAGAGTCATAGAATGGCTTGGGTTGGAAGGGACCTTAAAGACCATCCAGTTCCAACCCCCACCATCCAGTTCCAACCCCCACCATCCAGTTCCAACCCCCACCATCCAGTTCCAACCCCCACCATCCAGTTCCAACCCCCACCAATCATCACAATTGTGTAAGCCTGTGAATATCTGCAGACATCCTGTGGAAATACAGGGTGGGATGAATCATAAAAATAATTCTGATGCTTAAACCAGTTAGTGCATTAAAGACACAATTCTAATAGCAGAAAAACTGCTTTTTAATCCTCCTTTCTCCCCACCCTTTTGCTTTTCAACCCAGTATTCAGAAGAAGCCAATAACCATGCTGAAGAATGTGAAGAAGCCAAGAGACTTGGTGCTGTTGATGGCTCTTTGAGGTATGACTTCTTTTTTCCACAATCCTTCCTTTGTCTTGAAGGGAACTTGGTGTCAGTGCTCTTTCTGATAGTCTCTTTCCACTCTCTTTGCAGCAAGGAGACGCAGCAGGCAGTGCTCCAGTGGACACAGCACGATGACTCTTCAGACAGCTTCTGTGAAGCTGATGGTACAGGGACCTGTTTGATCTCACTAATCTTGTCATGAGATTTTAAGCAGAACTTTCAGGCCAGTGTGTAATATTTCAGCAAGCCTGGAGTGTTCATAATTTCTTTCTTCCACCTCCCCTGCACCCTCAGGGTTTTGAAAATAATATGATGCAAATATTTCTGACAAAGCTTCAGATCTAGGTCTTTTGTGTCATTGCTGATCTAGGTCTTGCTGTGTTTAGCAAGTTAGCAGCTGGGACAGAGCCATGCTCAGAGTTTGCTTTGCCATCAGTGGCCTTGCATTCTGATAGCTCTGAAGGCCAGAGAGCTGTGCCCTGCTGCAGTGGGTTGATGTACTGCAAATATTATGTACCTGCCTCTCTGGAGAGGGATGAGCTGGTCTCTCTGCTCTGGCATAAGACTGTTCAGTATGCCAAAGGCTGGCTGGCTCAGCCTTGGAAGATGTCATTTTTTTTTCCTTCAGAATTTTTTTGTCACTCTGCTTGGCACAGATATCTCTTCTCCTGAGGCAGAGTATGTGGATTTACTCCTGAATCCTGAACGCTATACTGGCTACAAAGGACCCGATGCCTGGAAAATTTGGAACAGTATTTATGAAGAAAACTGCTTCAAGTAGGTATTTTGGGAGAAAGGTTCCACAAGCTTTGCAGGTGCTGATTTTTTTAATTATTATTTATTTTTTGCAGAGGGGCTGCATGTGCTTTAGCTGCTGTGTTAATCCCCATCCTCCCATCTTTGCTGCAATGCTTGTGCAGTGTGGGCTGTCAGAGAAGGGGACAAGCTGTGTGGCTGCCCAGTGGGACCCCCTTGGCTGTTCTTTAGACCACAGCTTGACCTGATGCAGGCTCCTGATGCCAGCACTGTAGTGTGGTGAGACAGCAGCCTGACAGGGCATGCACATCTGTATGTGATGTGGTCCTGGACACACAGTTCTGTCCTCCCTGGTCACTACAGGGAGTTCTCCCCAGTCTGTTTACCAGTTTGAACTCTGTTGTGGGTACCCTTGAGTCTGATGCACAGTACTGGTGGGCACTGGTCTGTAGTTTTGCCTGGTCTGATCTCTCTAGGGATTGCCTCCTGGCTTGTACTAGTGTATCATGTTGCACCAAGGCTGTGGGATAATGTCCACTAGCACTTCTGTAGACACTTGAGTTTCCTAGCTGTTTTTTTTTAAAGAAAGACTTAAAAACCCCCCCCCAAAAAACCCACAAAAAATCCCCCAGAGAAAGTAACATTTTGTTCTATCTTTTTCCTGTCTGAGCAAACCTAAAACGTGCAAGGGGTTCTTAGATCTCCTCAGGCTCATTGCAGAGAAGTAGCTACTTCTGCTGTGCTGTGTTTCTGCTCAGCAAGGAGACAGTCACTTATTTACATATCTTATTTAAATGAATTTGTTTATTTATTTATTTTTTCTTCCCCCTCTTAGGCCTCAGAATGTAAAAAGACCTTTGGCATCTGGTAGAGGTGAGTCATTTATTTATCTCACTAAGTGGTTTAGTAGTGTGCTGATCCTAGCTCCAGGAACAGTAAATGCTCTCTGAGCTACTTCTCTTATTAAATATCTCGTACTTTATAAGGGCAGTTAATGACAAAACAAGGGGAAATGGGTTTAAGCTGAAAGAGGGGAGGTTTAGATTAGATATTAGGAAGAAGTTCTTTGGTGTGAGGGTGGTGAGCCAGTGTCCCAGGTTGGCCAGAGAAGCTGTGGCTGCTCCTCCCTGGAAGTGTTGAAGGCCAGGTTGGATGAGGCTTTGAGCAACCTGGTCTAGTGGAAGGTGTCCCTGCTGCTGGCAGGGGGGTTGGAACTGGATGAGCTTTAAGGTCCCTTCCAACCCAAACCAGTCTGGGATTCTAAAGAAGAAACAGACTGGAGCTCCTGATGAAGTGCAGCATTTAATGGCTAATGCAAGGACACGTGGAAGTGTGGCTCTCAAGCATCTGTCATGGAGAAAGTAACTGATCCTCTACTCCTGGAAGAAATGTGAGCTTTGGAGGGACTGGGAGCAGGACTAAACCCTGAGCTCTTCCTGTGTCCCTGAGTTCTGTACTCAGCAGTGCCACACCATCTGAGGGACTGAAAGGAGAACCTGGCTGGGATCCTTTGTGCAAATCATCCAGTAAGAGACACTCTGGCCTAGAAGCTGAGGTTAAATGTGTGAATGAAAGTAGGGGAGGGGTTTGGAAACATGAGAGTGTCTTGCCCAAGGCTGTTAAGAGACCCCATGTCTCCTGATGCTCCATCCTGCCTAGCCATGTAGAACATCATCAGTCTGACTCCCGCTTCATTTGACCTGAACACCACTCCAGCAGCAGCCTCTGGGGTGGTCTCTTGATTGTCCCTAAACTGTTTAGGTGCTTTCCCACCTCCTTTGACCCTTGTGCAAGTGGGTGGCACTTCAGGAGCAGAGCTGGTGAAGGAAATGGACCATGTCCTTTAAAATATCAGCGCTTCTCTTGACCAGCTCTGGTTAGGGCAAGATCTGCATGAAATAACCCAGCGATGTTGAGGGCAGGGGGAAGGACTGCTGCTTTGCAGATGAGGAAGCAGGAGGACATGAAAATAGAGGATCTGACCTGATACCTGCCAGAGTTTTTGCAAGTGACTGATAAACTGCAGGAAATAAGAGATCTCTGGTAGAGATAGACACACCTGTGTCCCCTGTTTTCTGGTCTCTACTTCAGCTGTGTGGTGGTTTTACTTCCTTTGCAAATATTGATCCCTCCTGTGTTGGTCAGGTTATTTGGGAGCATTGCTCATCTGGTGTGTTCACTGCTGCAGTTTTAGATGATTTTTTTTTTTTTCCCTCTGTTTAGAACATTTCTAAACCTCCCTGGAGAGGCTCGCTCTCTTGTCAGAGCAGATGAAGAGAACAATCTTAATGCTTGTGCTTTGGAGTTTAATTTTGGTTACGTGTAATTTTTATCTCCTCTTTTTTCTCTCTCTCCCACTTCTGCTTGTTTTTTTTCATCAGGAGATGATGGAGGTGAGTGGCACTCTTGTTTGTTTTTACTGATAACAGAAACAAAGGTGGTGTCTTTATCACACTGTCACGAGCTGTACCATTAGATAATGCACCTGGGTAGGAAAATTATTACTCTGTCAAATTCAGAAGTTATCTTGAAATTCTGCTGTGCTCAGGACCCTGTGGAGAGGTCCCTCTGAGCTCCCTGTCCCTGAGGCCAGCCCATCCTTGTGCAGAGGCCTTAAAAACCACCAGCATGGGGGTTTTTTGAAGAGTACAAGTCCCACTTGAAGATGTCACTGAAGTGTCATAAGCCTTCAGGAACAGGACTTGTGGGTTGGTGGTTTTTTCAGTGCTTGTTGTTGCTGAGAAAGCAGCTCTCAGGCTGGAGGACATGAAAATGGAGGATCTGACCTGATACATGCCAGGGTTTTTTGTAAGTGACTAATAAACTGCAGGAAATGGAGATTGCTGGCAGAGAGACACCTGTGTCCCCTGTTTTCTGGTCTCTACTTCAGCTGTGTGCTGGTTTTACTTCCTTTGCAAATATTGATCCCTGAGCTTTGAGAAGACTCATAATCCCAACAGCTTCTGACTGCTGGTAGGAGCTGGGTGCCCATCTCCAAGGCTTGTGTCTGGGAAGGGCTGTCCCCTGGAGCTGTTTGCCCTCTGCAGCACTGGGGCTGTGTATATGGCATGGTTTTGTCTCCAAATTATCTCCAAATTTTTATGTTTTCCAGATTACTTTCAAGCACTGGTCTAGTGGAAGGTGTCCCTGCTGATGGCAGGGGGGGTTGGAACTGGATGATCTTTAAAGTCCTTTCCAACCCAGACCATTCTATGTAGCAAGGGTAGTATGAAATGGTGACTTGTGTGATTTTTATATACTTGGTTGTGCTGTGTGAGGTTTTTTGTTCATTTCTTGGGTTTTTCTAATAAAAATACCCTTCTCCCCACCCTGGCCAGAGGAGAAAAGCAATCCATCACCCTTGTTTCCCTCTACACTGTGCCATTCTGCAGCACTTCTGCCCTCCCAGCCCTTGCTGAGATGGGTGGGAAAGACCACATGCTGTGTTTAGAAGCAGCAGTCAGCAGGGTGGGGGGGAAAGCTGTTTTCATGTTTTTCCTAAGCTCCTTTCCCTGCTTCTGCAAACTGGAGTGGGCAGAAGTCCTCTGGGAGCTGGTCTCAGAGGTGGTTTCAGGGCATTAGGCTGTTCCCCTCCCATGCTACAGAGTGAGGGGTACTGCCCTGTCTCATTGTATGAGAAAGGTGTGACCAGTGAAGGAGCCTAAAGCATGAGGCAGTGTGTTAGAGCCCTCCTGCTGCTCTGAGGCATCTCAAACTGATGTGCTTGTTTTCCTTTTGTTCCCAGGGCACGCGTTTTACAAGTGGCTGAAAGGTAATCCTTCTTCTAGACTTGGTTACCCTTCCTGGGATGAACACAAAATGGCCAGGGAGTAGCTGGGAGTTACTGGTCATGTTCAGGGGGGGGATTAAATTTCTGTCTGACAGCCAGAAAATTCAACATATGCTTTCAGTATCTTAAAGTGACCATTTCTTTTCAGGTGTCTGTGTAGAGAAACGAGCTTTCTACAAGCTCATTTCTGGTCTCCACGCAAGCATCAACATTCATTTGAGTGCCAGGTACCTTTTACAAGGTAAATGCCACTTTCTGCCTTGGCTTTCCTGCATCAGTTCCTAAATGGACACTTCTGTGGCTCTGTTAAGCACTAGCTGGAGCCTGTGCCAGCAGGGTTCACTCCTACTTCTGTGCTCTTCTCTTCCCTCCCTCAGCACACGGGTTGTGTAACAGAATCAGGAATGCAGTTACCACACGCCTTTGGGTCTGAAAATGGCTGGACTGTGCTCTGTACCGAGACTTCCAGCACGTATTCCTTCTGTTCTTCCTCCAGGGTTATTTTGGAGTGGGTTTCTAACTGTGTATCAAGGCTGTTCCTTCCTAGCCTGTCTTTATGATGGTCAGTTTAGCAATAATCTCGCCTAGACTGTGAAATGCTTGGCTGGGCTTTCCCAAGAGCCTCGATCCATTGCCATAAATACAGGCTGGGTGATGAGTGGATTG